AAAAAAAAAAAAAAAAAATTATCAGATTACATGACAAATAATTGCATCTCTCACTATATCAAGGTTTCTCAAAACGAAATGTCACACACTCTCAGAATCCTCTGGGTTCTTTTTCAAAAAAGGCAGATTCCTAGACTTCCACCTTAAACCTATTTTTAAGTAGTTCTTTCAAGTGATTAGTCCCTAAGCCCAGTTTAAAACACACCAAGAAGGCTGGGCGCGGTGGCTCACGCCTGTAATCCCAGCACATTGGGAGGCAGAGGCAAGCAGATACTTGAGGTCAGGAGTTTGAGACCAGCCTGGCCAACATGGTGAAACACTGTCTCTACGAAAAATACAAAAATTAGTCGGGTGTGGTGGCGCATGCCTATAGTCTCAGCTACTCAGAAGGCTGAAGCAGGAAAATCGCTTGAACCCGGGAGGTGGAGGTTGCAGTAACCAGGGATCATGCCACTGTACTCCTGCCTGAGCAACAGAGCAAGATTCAGTTTCAAAGAAAATAAAACAAAAACACCAAGAGAAGAAACTGGGGAAAAGAAACTTCCAGAAAGGGAGAAATTTCCTGGAAGGGAGAAACTGCATTACTCATCTTTGTAAATCAAGCTCTGAAGATTCTAATAGCTGTTTAGTGCATTCAGCAACTGTCTATACCTAAACTTGCTTGGGGATGGAGGTAGGGAGAGAAACTAACACCGTGGAGGAGTATTCTAAACATTTCACATATTTATCTAATTTAATTATTCCTACCAATTTAAGAGATAGTTGTCCCCTTTTACAGATGAGAAAACTGAGGCTCAAATATTTTGGTTAAATTATAACTGTCCTGTTTAGTTCTAAAGCCTGTGTTTTTTCCATAGCCCTAGTCTACATCTGAATTGGGAATTAGATTCCCAATTTTGGGAATCTTTTGGGAAAAAGACCTAGATTCAGAAATTCAAAAGCCATCATCCTTTTCACAATCCTTTTGCCTCTGCTCCTCCAGAAGAAGATAATTCAGCATGTGGCTAGTGAGGAATACCCTAGAGGTATACTAGTTTATTGATAGTCCCTGAGAGCAAATGAATGACATGCTCCATCTTCTCCAATTGCTCTGTAAAAACCTGAACAAATTTTCTTTAGACTGAAAAAAAACACAAAAAACCCAAACTTATATCAAGGCTATTCACATCCCTCACATGCACACACGCAGTGTCTTTTTTTTTTTTCTCTGAGACTCTCACCCTGTCTCCAAGGCTGGAGTGCAGTGGTGCAATCTTAGCTCACTGCAACCCCTGCCTCCCAGGTTCAAGTGATTCTCCTGCCTCAGCCTCCCGAGTAGCTGGTATTACAGGCGCGTACCACCATGCCCGGCTAATTTTTGTATTTTAGTAGAGATGAGGTTTCATCATGTCAGCCAGGCTGATCTCAAACTCACTCCTGACCTCAGGTGATCCTCTGCCCACCTCGACCTCCCAAAGTGCTGGGATTACAGGCGTGAGCCACTG